TCGCCAAGTTGCCCAGAATGGTCTCCAGTCTGTGGGCTCAGGCAATCCTCTCACCTTGGCCTCCCTATTTTTTTTTTTTTTTTGAATTGGAGTCTCACTCTGTTGCCCAGGCTAATTTTTGTTTTACTGTAGAGACGAGGTCTTGCCAATTTGCCCAGGCTGGTCTCAAACCCGTGGGTTCAGGCAATCCTCTCACTTTGGCCTCCCAAAGTGCTGGGATTATAGCCGCGAACGACTGTGTCCAGCCAATACACAATTATTAAAGTGGTATTTTATTTTCTTTCTACAGAGTCTTTGAAATCCAGTAGTTTAGACTTATAGCAGGTCTCAATTCTGACCAACCTCATTTCATGTGCTCAGTAGCCACATGTGGCTCATGGCTACCACTGGACCACGTGGTTCCAGACTTCTAGTTACCCCCAGCAAGCAGCATAGAGCCATAATTCTCTCCCCATGAATCACATTTCCCACTAAAGAAATCAGATACGATCTCCTGATGTATTACTGGGTTGAAACCATACTTCTGATTGTTTTTCAGCCCCTCCTTCAGCCTTAAGATTACCAAAAGACAGCCAAGTTCCTATGGAGCACAATACACAACCATTTTAGTGACTCCCTGAAAACTCACCACAAGCCGGGCTCGGTGGCTCAGCCTGTAATCTTGCGCCTTTGGGAGGCTGAGGTGAGTGGATTGCCTGAGCCGGCAGGTTCGAGACCCGCCTGGGCAGCGAGACCTCATCTCTACAATAAATCAAAAAATCAGCCGGGCGTGGTAGCGCATGCCTGTAATTCCGGCTGCTTGGAAGGCTGAGGCGGAAGGATCGCCGGAGCCCAGCAGGTCGAGGCTGCGGTGGCCGGGAGCGGCCACTGCACTCCAGTCTGGGCGACAGAGTAAGACTCCAACTCAAAAAAAAAAAAAAAAAAAACTCACCACAGCAGTCTGTGTATATATAGAGAGAAAAAAAAAAGACCAGATGACAATGAAAAAACTTCTAAGCGATGAACTAGAGCCAAGGTCCCCAACTCCCGGACCACAGACCAGTAGTGGTCCTTGGTCTATTAGAAACTGGACCATACAGTAAGAGGTGAGTGGTGGGCAAACAACCGAAGCTTCATCTGTACTTACAGCTGCTCCTCATCACTTGCATGACTGCCTGGGCTCCACCTCCTGTCAGATCCGCAGCAGTGAGATTCTCATAGGAGTGCAAACCCTATTATGAACCACTCATGAGAAGGATCTAAGCTGCATGCTCCTTATGTGAATCGAATGCCTGATGATCCGAGGTGGAGCTGAGGCAGTGATGCCAGTGCTGTGTCCCATCACTCCTAGATGGGACTATAGAGTTGCAGGAAAACAAGCTCAGGGCTCCCACTGATTCTGCATTATGGTGAGCTGTAATGATTTCCTTATATATTGCAATGTAATAATAATAATAGAAATAAAGTGCACAGTAAATATAATGAGCTCGAAATCATCCCCAAACCATAATTGTCTTCCACAAAAAAGGCTGGGGACCACTGAGCTAGAGGGTATAGAGGAATGGGGATGGACATAGAATAAACACATTTGATGAAAACAGCAACCTCCAGAGCCACTGCCTGGCAAAGAAGTGCTGCAAAAAACCAGCACTTACCCAGTTCTGGCCAGGGGATAGTTAGGAGTGGGGGCAAGGGGAGGCAGGTGCACCAGCCTGAAAGGAGCAGAGGCACACGGTGAGGTCTCAACACATAAGGGCCATGGGCTTAGTAGGCCTGCAGCAGAGATGGAGCTTCTGGGCAGGATCAGCCATGACAGCATTGCCTGGGCCATCTGTGGCTTTATCGTCAAAAGCAGAACAAGATGAAAGTCAGAGAAGTGATGTGTTTTTAAGGAAAGTGGGAGAAACCTTTTCCTCTTCTGTATTCAGAAGAGGAACTAATTTAATGCAAAGTGTACATTTTTTTCCAAGTGTTCAATTTAAGGGGATAATAAACTTTTGACATGAGATATGAATAGAATTTTCACTGTGTATATCAACATACTTTTCTCATGACCATTTAAGTAATAAAGTAATCAACACAGGATTTCTGAGAAGCAGAATCAAATCTCTACAAAGGAAAAATTTAAGCAAAATACTGAAATTATTGTACTTGAGTCTTCACAGGGAGATCAACTCGACAAACATGAGAAGCTTAAAGTCAAAGAGTCTGAGCCATTGACTCTAGGGACTAGAACCTACAGTCCCCAGGGTCACCCTACCACACCAATATATTATGTTCCCAATAAACATGGCATCCAGAAGAAGCTCAGCTATAACTGATAAACCCTGATTAAAAGATACAAGGAGATGCATGAACCAGTTCAGAAAAACAAAGTGGTTATGCTTCAGTTTGGACATGTTATTTGTTGAAGAAAAAATTCTATTGTGGATAGTGTAGAATAATGTTAATGTGAAATCCAGCAGATTTGGGCATCTATCAGTGGTGTGACCTTGCATATGTTATTTCTTCAACTATAGAACAGTTGATACTGACTTTGCAGAAGTTTTGTCAAAATTAGGCATAATTATGTAAAATTGTTTCACATAGTATCTGAAACAACAGGTATTAATAAATAGCTGTTATTGATGATAACAACAGTAATAAATGAGATACTGATATTTATTTCCTTATCATAAAGGCTTCAATGAAAAAAGTTTTAATAAAAGACAGTATAAGGCATAAAGTCACTAAAGTGACTTCCTTTTCAAATGTGTGTAAATACCAAACATGCAAGTGAGATTCATTTTCTCTACCTCTGAAACTCTGAATGATTTTATAAAATTGTATTTTTCCTAGCTTAATGAAAAGTGAAAAGAAATTGGTCTTGCATGCCTTTGTAAATGACCTTGAAAGGTGTGTTGCATTTTAGCAAGTTAGACATTCATCCATGACAGATTTTGCATGTGGGGTGACAGGCAGGGGGGAATGGGGGGACAGGGCAGTGAGAACAGCAGGGGTTAATGTATGCTTTTTTTTTTTTTTTTCTTGAGTTGGAGTCTCACTCGGTCGCCCAGACTGGAGTGCAGTGGCCGCTCCTGGCCACCGCAGGCTCGCCTGCTGGGCTCCGGCGATCCTTCCGCCTCAGCCTTCCAAGTAGCCGGAATTACAGGCACGCACTATTACGCCCGGCTGATTTTTTGATTTATTGTAGAGATGAGGTCTCGCTGCCCAGGCGGGTCTCGAACCCGCGGGCTCAGGCGATCCACTCACCTCAGCCTCCCAAAGGCGCGGGATTACAGACTGAGCCACCGAGCCTGGCAATGTATGCTTTTCTATGTCTGCATGTGTATATCTGTTAAGTCTTAATGGGCAAAGAATTCCACCCCATGGTCTCAAAAGAACCCTCTCAAGTTACCAGGAATTCCTCTGGTCATGAGGAAGTATATCTGAAAAATTCATTCACATGAAAAAATAATATTGGATTTTTTTTCCTTATAGCAGCTTTTTACCTTTTAAGAGAGGGTGTTCCCTAAAAAAGATAACTCAAAGAACAATCTCTTGAGGTCTAAGAAACGCAAACACAATTGCTATAAAGAAACTGATCAAAGAACTTTGTGTTCTGGTAGCAGAACACTAGGCATCTATAACAATAAGAGGAATGAAATCTTCTTTAACATCCTTCAAATCAAACTCCATCAGTGACTTTTTACTTCAGCTTAAGGTCAGTCTGGTATCAGTAAGAGATTTGCTTACAGCTATGCAACTCCATGGTGAATGCCGTGCGTGCACGTGTGTGTGTGTGTGTATATGTGCACACAGTCTTCAAGTTGATAAATTGCACTATTAGAATCTCAATAACATTTTAGGGTCCAGCTACTAAATTGGAACTCACACCTGCTTCGCTTGTGACTAGTGTGAAACTGTCAAAGCAAGCCAGGAGCTATTCTACGACACATTCACAGGAGAGACGTGGCTAAGTTTACCTTTCTTTGGTCTGGATTTCACTGGCAAGGACTCCTTTCTTTCCATGGCCGCTTCTCTTTCTTTCCATCGTCGGATCTGTTCCTCCCTCATCTTGAAGAAGAGGATCTGTTTCTGTTCTTCGCTGAGCTCTGCCAGTAGATCAGGATCTATGTACATATCCGACAGTATCTGTTTCAGCATCTCTGCAGTTCTAGAGTCTTTTACACCTGTGGCAAAAGTTCCTGAAAATGGCCTCCAGGGGTGCCTCCACCGAAGCTGGCACTGGTGCACTCCCACAAACCTTCCCAGAGACTCACAATCCCAACCGAATGGGACAATAATTCAGCAAACCAGCTTCTGAGACCTGACACCAAGCATCCTGTCCAAAACGCCGTTCACTGAACCTGCAAAGAGCAACAGTCCGAAATTAGGCAGTATTAAAATATGGGGACGCTGGGTGAAGACAGGCTTATAAATAAAGCTTGGAAAAAATACAGGATCGCTTTTCATTTCAGGGGAAAAAGAGAAGAAGAAAAGCTGAGGCACACTTTGTGAAGAGTTTGTGTAACCTCTATCCCATAATTTCCAAAGATACTCTATCAAAAAACAAAATAAAACAAACCCTAACTTATATGGGTCAATCTCAGGGAAACAAAAAAATTCACTGAGGTTTGGCCTGCTTCCCACTAAGCAAACACATTATTACCTCAGAGCCTAACAAACCACCAACTGTATGACTGAAAAAAGAATCAAAGATTTCAAAAACGGTCACAGGAAGAAATGTAAAGCTTCTCTCCAAACAATCTATTTCAAAATAAAATACCATTTTTGATATTTCACAGAGTCACTCAGCCCAAACCAAACCAAAGCGAGCCCTGCTGAAGGAGGAAAAAGGAAGAAATAAAAATCAGACCACAATGCAAATTTTGCATCTTCCCTTAAAAGTAGCACTAAGTAAACACAATTATGTACTTTCATCTTCACAAAAGGATGGTGTCATTTCCAGACAGCCTACTAAAGCCATGAAAATAGTGCAAGTACAGGAGAGAATATTCATGGACATTCTGGAAGGTTCACCAGGTTTTAGGTGTACCTTTTCCAGATAATCTAATTTAATAAAATCTAAATTTACAGACAAGATAGATAGGGGGAATGAGAAGGTCACCAGATTCATAACAAAGAATCCTTGATTTACAAAAGTTTACTACAGGGTTCCTTTAAGAGAAGCCATGGCCTCGGGACAGGGTAGCTTCCCAGAGGTTCTCTGGGGCGGCAGGAGACAATTCCACTGAGATTTCATTCTATTTTACACATCTCTATTTGGTTGATTAAAAAAAATACCACTTTCATACTTTTGTAGTCAGAAGGAAAGTATGTATCTATTTCTACTAAAAACAAACAAACAAAGACTTTGGTTTCATCGCTGACTTTCAGGATCTCCTTTTTGTTCTAAGAAATAATCTGGCGTTTACTATGCCTCAATAATCTCACCACCTAGCCAGGTCCTCTCAAATAACTTGTTTCTCCTTACTAAGTTCAAACACTCTTAAACTTCAAACTTGTCACTTAGCCATATCATGGCCACAATAGCTTTGACTCCTCTCACTTCCTTCATCTTGTCATTCACACAGTTAGATGTCTCAAGCTCCTCTCACCACCTGAGAGTTCCCTTCAGCTTCCCCTCTTCCTCCTCTTCTCTGCAGAGTTGTTTTTTTTTTTACTTTTGAGACAAGCATGCTTAGCAGCCAGGCTACCACACAGAGGTTGCATATGCAGCACTTAGATTCCCTCACTAGTCATTGTGTGGGGGGCACCTCTACAGTTATCCTTACTCAGTGCAACCTATAATCTAGGCAGCATTCAACTGCCGGAATTCAAATGAAACAAAATATTAAGGGAAAATTTTAAAAGAATTAAAAGCAGTGTCAAGCACCTCCCAGGTTCCCTTGCTAAGTTTATATTTGATTTTGAGTTGACCCTCAAAGGCTTTAACTGACACAGAACTGATGTCTTGACTTTTTGGTTCTAACAGCTTCTCGAGGGATACAGCCAACGAAATCCACGTGCTCAGAGACAAAGTGGCAAGAAACCAAAGAGAATAACTTCTTGACATTCCAGTATACGTCCCTCTGTTGGCACATTTCATGACTGCAATGGTTAATTTTCACAGAAATAAAACACCATAGAAAATGAATAGCTCTGTTCCCCATTTTAAATGGAGTGAGTCCTGTTCAAGGGATGGGTAGTAGGGCTGAAAAACCAAACCTAAGTGCCAAAGTCACATTCCTCTGGTCTCCCCCACCCAGAGTACTCCTGATAACAGAGCTAACACTTACTGTATCAGGCACCACCTTACGCACTTGACCTGCATTAACTCACTTAATATTCACAATAACCTTTGAGTTCTGTCCATCACTACACCCATTTCACAGATTAAGAAGATGGAGCACAAAAGGTGAGCAGCTGGGAAGCAGTGGAGTCAGCCAGTCTGGCTCTAAGTCTGCTCTGCTCTATTCCACCACACAAAGGCCTTTTTGTGAGTGTTATATGGGAGCCCAGAATCAGAACATCATCAGGATGTGAAGCCACGTGTGAAATTTCAGAACCAAGACCAGCAAACTCTTGCAACAACAGAAACACTGAACTGAAGGCACCTGACGCAGACAGGCCTCATCCAAGTCAACCACAGATGAGTTGGGGGGTGGGGGCAGCAAGGAACTGACCATCACCCTGACCCAGGTGTGGGTGTTGTCTGCCTCCTTTACTCACTAGGCACTCAGCCCCCTCAATTTTCCCTTCCACTTAGTCATCCACTTACTCTCCACAATTTCCCCTTCCAACCACCCACTAGGAGCAACACAAATGGCACAGCCTCTCCCATGGGCAGAGAGCTTCATGACACCTCTGTGATGAAATGCTCTCAAGCTCTTCCCGTTTTAATTTTTGTTTTGCCTTTTGCAGCAAACGTGGGCTTCTAACATTAAAATTAACTAGTGCATCTTGAAGAAAAGATACTGGCTTCCTTGTGCCTCAGAGAATACTTGGGGTGGGGGTGGGGGCAGCTGATACTTGACATTGGTGTGAATCAACTCTCTCCCTCCCTACCCCGTAAGCCCTACCCCAAAGCTTTCAGACCCAAACTCAAGCAAGGCACAGTGTGCTCACAGAATAAGCAGCAGGGACTCCAGCCTCAACTCCAGCTGTCTCTCATGAGCTGTGCCACTCTAGGCTGTCACTTCACTGCCTAGGACTCAGTTTCTCATCTGTGAAATAAGGAAACTGTGAAATGAGGAAATGAGTCTGTGAATCTTCCTAATTTGTGAACTACACGATATAATCTACTGTGAAGTTAAGGAGGCAAGTGGAACCAAGGTGGAAGAAATAGAAACAAGGAAATTAACGAGGGTTTTTCCCACTTTCACTCCCTGATAGGACAAAGAATCACTGCGGTTCCTGATTCAAACTCGAATGGCTTTCCCCTAACATATTAAGGGCAACAAACTTCCAAGATCCAAAAAGAAAAGGCTCAGTTAATTTGGTTTTCTTCTTGCACAGCACTATTTTTAAAAGAGAGAAATGACAAGCAACAAGTCCACACCTGCTATTTATTCCAAAAACCAATTTCTAAAGGGTCAGAGGGTCAGTTAAGTTTTCCATGACACCACAGGCTTGTCTTGATTCTCACACCTTCCACGGTCACTGTTCTACAAAATATTGTGTTTTTATTTATTTATTTTGTTATTATTATTTCGAGTTGGAGTCTTACTCTGTGGTCCAGGCTGGAGTGCAGTGGCACAGTCATAGCTACCGCAGCCTCAACTTGCTGGGCTCAGATGATCCTTCCACCTCAGCGTTCCAAGAAGCTGGGACCACAGGTAAAGCCCACTATGCCCGGCTAATTTTTCTTATCTATTGTAGAGAAGAGGTCTCCCCATGTTGCCCAGGCTGCTCTTGAATTCCTGGGCTCATGCAATCCTCCCGCCCTGGCCTCTCAAAGTGCGGAGATTGCCGGTGAGAACCACCACGCCTGGCCCAACTGTGTTTTTAATAACTGAGACCTAAAACAATTTCTTTTAAAGGCCTTGAGATGCAGCTTAAATCACAAACATATTGTAGTACGGACAGTACAACTTTAACGTTAATAATATGTTTGAATTTTAATTATTTTAAAACAGCCAGCTCTGCATTCCAACTTTCAGTTATCTTGTTCGACTTCAGCTTATTAATCTATGGCAAAAGGGGCTGTTTTTGAGGATAAAAGGAATTACCAGAGATGACAGCAGTTGGACGAGTTCTGTAAATATATACTACTCTTCAGAAATTTGAAATCTACCATACACATGGATTTACCAGGAAAATTCCGCTCGAACGCCAAGTCTATGCCCATCTATTTATTCACTTAAAAAAACAATTGCATCCAAATCATTGTTTCCATTAAACAAGCAATCAAATAAAAGCCTTTTGGAAGAGGAGAAGAATCTAAGTTTAGAAAGAGGGAGGGGGCAGGCTTGCTGCTTCTCTGAGACCCCTGGGAAGGGACAGACAACTCTGAGAAAACCTATAAACGGTGGCTCCTTGGGGGCCCGCGTGAATCCCGAGGGCAGAAACGGGCAGGGGTGTCCCCTTGGTTGAGGCGGGTCATCGCGGGGAGCCGACCCGGGCCCG